TAAATGTATATGTATACATATTTCGAAGTACTTGCATCGTCTGCCCAGATTCGCGCATGGGTCACGTAAGTTCTCACATATGCGCAAGTTTATGCTCTATTTTTTTTATACTGTTTCAATAGACGTATTGTTCTAAACACAGACCATTTCAATGCACAGATGAGAAGCCTTACCTCATCAACCTTATCGATTCGCCTGGGCATGTGGATTTCAGCAGTGAAGTGTCTACGGCTGTTCGATTGTGTGATGGGGCGCTGGTAATTGTGGATGTCAGTGAAGGCGTATGTGCCCAGGTATGCGGATGGGCAACATGTTCTATTATGATAACAGCTTTGTGTACAGTATAGGCTAATGTAGGTGGCTCTGTATAGAATGCATGTTTTATTAGGCCAATTTAAGTATTATTTGAGGGAAGGACCATTTGTGCACTTCAAAGATGCCTTTTCTAGACAGCGGCGGTCGCTATCCGTTGCTCTATACCTTGTCAGAGTATGAATGTAATTCTTTCTATTGTTAAATTTATCGTCTATACCTGTCCTAATTTTGTATGGGAATGTGTACCGCAGACCCATGCTGTGCTGAGACAAGCGTATGAAGAAAACATCAGGCCTGTCCTAATTCTGAACAAAGTGGACCGACTGATCACCGAGTTGAAACTCACACCCGACGAGGCACTGGTGCATTTGCAGAAAATCCTGGAACATGTATGTATCTGTGCTTGCGAGTACACATATTATTTGTGCTTGAAAGTATAGTTTTCGGTTTGATATGGTTTGGGTAGAGTGGGACGGGATCGCTTTTAGGCAATCACAAGTATGGCGTATACATATTAATGACAGAAATGCTTCTGTTGGAATCAACATTAGCCAGAGCACCTGTCTTTAGAGATTCAGGTTTGAACTCGGATAGCCCTTCAGTATTTCATAAGCCCTCTCGAAACGCTCTCATTATGTGGATTTACTTTTTTATCTTATGTGTGGGGTTTGGGTTTAAGATTAAGTGTGTTGTTAATCATATTGAGTTCAGGAGTACAATTTTTCGAGTCAGGATGCCTGATTCGTCATAAAATAGCGCCCCTTTGAATCAGCTCCAGTTTGGGTTGTAGTTTCACACCTCTGTTCCAGGCTTCGGTCTTGGGTTTTAATCTATAACACATGTCGCTTGCCCTTGTAGTATAAATCGTCACTTGAATTTTCGCCACTATTCTGACTGTATATCCTACGCCTGTCATGTACATTTGTAGTGTCCGAATTCACTGCATACTTGTGCACCTGTTCTTGTCTGGGAAGGTCCAAGTATATCTTGTGCACTTGAATTCGCTATCAAATTGGATATGTTATTAACACTCCACTATGACGTCGCTCCCATGTATATTTGTATTTATTACTGTATACATATG